CGTACTAAAACGTGATTATATTGATGTCGGTTCTGTCAAGCTTAATGGTAGAGTATGAAAGGACAACAACATCATTTCGATGGATAGATTCACTTATATAGTAAAATTTTGAATTGAGAAAACAGTTTTATAACAAGTATTAATGCACGTGAAAATTTGATGTGTGAAAATAAATCGTAATAAATAAATGTGTACTTATATCAATTAGCAATATAATTAAATATACAACGATATATAAAAAAAATATAATTTATAAACTAAATATTATTTGTTAGTTAGTAAAAACTATTTACAGACGACATTTTTGATATTCATAATTTTACATTTAATGGACAGATTCAAAATTAAGTCTATGATGTTGATTGATTGGAGAAAGGAGCCTTTCACCATTAATTACTAATTAAAATTGAGAAATTCTATATTTCACACACTCATACTATATTCTACATTTTAATAGAAAAGAAGTTCAAGTTATATAAATGAAAAACCTATTAAAATTGAAAAAAATTGTCACACAGAGTGATGCTCTAACCATCTGGGCAACCGCGTCAATCCCTCAATTGGAAAAATCATCAACACGGAACGCTGCGGATGGCAGTTCTAGTCCCGCCTATGTCGTCATTTTTTTTCAATGTATATATATAGTTTTTTAATTTACATAACTTTAATTACTCTTGTATTGATTACATACCTAGCTTGAAGAGTTCATTTTTTAAATAAAGAGCCTCAGATTTTATTAAACAATATTACACTTTTTTTTTTATCCTCCTTTGCCCATTCGATCTTATTCACAGCCTTGAATCGAATCATACTCATAAACGTAAGTACAGAAGCGGCAAGTAAATAGCCTTACAAGGAATAATAACCATTATTGCTAAAACGGAATCCTAACAAGTACTTACATAAACATGATAGTCAAGAATCGAAAGCCTAGCGCGTTTACATAATGTGTTCGGAAGGCACTTCTACTCTATCGGTGATTGATTACTATCAAACAATCTATAAAGTACTGTATAGTATCATGTACTTATTACTACGAGCATGTTACATACGAACAAGTGATTTAATACTAATACTAGTCAAAGCGTTTGTTAGAACGCGGTAATCTAAGAATGTATTAGTTCGAATTAAAACATTATTTTAGTGTTCTTGGAACCGTTTATTGAAAAAGGCTCTCTGGGCTATAACATTAAGCTACGGCCAATAGGAGCGAAGAAATCGAGGGTATCGTGGAAAACCCGAGGAAAACTATTCATCTTTGAAGGCTTCCGTTGGGCCGTTGTAAAAACGGTTCAAGGAACAAACAATATTATGTTTAAAATAATGATTTAAAATATTGATGGGACAAGACCAACGTCTGTGTGTAACGGGACAAGACTTATATCGTGCTAAATGGAAGAATGGTTTGCAAAAACAATTTTTTATGCCCAAAACATCTGTTCTACGCGCACGACGTCGCTGACGCAGTTAGTTATAAAATATCTATATACTTTTATTTTATTATGTACACACAAATATATCCTGCCATTTCCGATGATTTCGCAGGTGCCCCTAACTACAATAATACTACATCTACATAATAAAATAAATTATAATCTTTATTGTTACTATAATAACTTTTAACAATTACGAAGAGATTGGCTATTACACTCTCTTACTCATATAATTTTTTTTCTAATTAGTTATTATTAAATAGTTATTTTGCGTAACGGGTAGATTATACTAAATTCTTAGATCTCTAGTTGTATTAAACCTAGCTGTCGAGTTTTGGAATAGCATATTTGTTTATAGGACGTAGATTTGATTAATATAGGTTCTCAAGATATATGTTAAGAGGCTTTGGACTTTGTATGTGTCCTCTATTTCGGGTCTGATAAATTGGTAATCCCGTGATTCTTAATAGGTAAGGTTGAAGCTAAACTTGGTATATAGATACTTTTAAGACCAATTCGTTGTTATATAACATTTTGTTTTTTGTACTGTTGTACTGTTGTACCGCTGTAACAAAATGGCCAATGTATGGTGTCAAACTAACTTTTTTCTGGCCCTGTAACACTAGGGCCAAAAAAAAAGAATAAGTTTGACACCATAGCTCAGATAGCTTAAAAGTATGGGGTGTGTCCTTCCTGTGATATTTTTTTCTATTTATTATCATTAAATAGGTTTTGTCTGTAGTTCACAAGTTTAGTATAGCTCTTGATCGAGTACTGTCTGTAGTTTACGCGGGTAGTACATATTTAAACAAACCCTCTCCCCGTGGCCACAACTGCTGCAAGGCATCTGAAACGTTGGCCCGTAGTTAAAAAAAAATATGAAAACAAGTTCAGCTAATATATTCCGCGTTTTAAAGTATTTTTTTTTTTATGCTTTTGATCGGTTTTTGAAACGTAATTTATAACTAACTAACCAAAAAACGTAACTAATATATTTAGCATTGTAAACTGTAAAATATTTTATTTAAATATTGTATCCATTTGTTAAATGTTACTTATCGCATTATAAACTAAAATTGCGACATGACATCTTAATATCCATTAAAATTAAATGGCACTCAAACTTATACTCAGGGCATAAGTGAAATATGGTTGAGCTTTACCCCAGCAATTATAAAGTTTTACTTCATCGTTGTATCAAAGAGACGTCGGATATAATTACAGGGAATACTTGCTATAAAATGCCTGTATTCAGACCTTTATGTTCCAATATGCTAAATATAATCCTAACCAGGCTCTTAGCTTTTACCACGCTGGCCAAATGTTTGTTTGTTAATAATATACTGAAAAATGTTTAATCGTCCCAAAGTACGCAATTTTTTGCTACCGAAAGTTAAAGACTTACGACAATTTTTCCTACATCTACTCTACTTTCAAATAATAGTTAGTTAAGACGTGATTTTATTATTGTACAATGAAGTGTAAGCTAACAATAAAAAATAGAATACTATAAACTGATAAACAACAGACGGTTATTGTGTTTAAGGAAAAGCGTTATATAGACACTATCTTTTTAACTCATTTATGAGAAACTGCAAGCAGTTGATAAGAACAAAGCATTATTTAATGATTCACAATGTGGAATACATAATTACAATTCACTTTGGCCATGTCAATTTTTTTGTGTAAATGATGTTAAACTACAAAAAATACCACCATACGAACTCAACTTTAATGTGTTACTAGTTGTATAATGGAAAAGAGAAATGTGTTTAACTTTCGAAGAAAGTTGATTGCAACGACAAGATTTATATTTTAAGCTTTCAAAATGCATCTCGTTTCGTCGATTAAGTCAAAGTTCACAGCGAATAACACAGCCAAGTTTTCTAGAAAGCCTTTATGATACTTGTTAAGTAATGTGCATCGCTTCTTGACCTAATGTAGCTCTCTTAGCCTTCAACGTGAAACACACTTTTGTGGGCCTTTGCGCTTAGCGAGGGAAACTGAATTGCTTTACTGCCTTCAAAAATATTTTTCCTTCTAACTGTGTTGTTAATTATACAAAAATATTAATCGCAAAGTAACCGAGAATTGCTTAGCTTTATTTCTTAATGAAAAGTATTATTACTTTATCCGTCCGGGTCACGAACCACCGTCTATAAATGAATACTTGTGTAGTTTACTTGTGTTTCGGATTTAGACTCTCGATTTCCAAATCCATATTAGATTGAAAGCGAATTTTGTTTCGATTTTTTTAGCTGAGGATTTTCAGTTTTGAGCATTCTTGTTTATTTTTTGTTTACTAAAAAATATCTTTATTTTTTATTGCTCAACAACTTCCAGACCGTTTTTGATAACTGTATCGTTCAAATAAGCAAACTATTGAAATTAAAACTATAGTCTGATTGAACTTGGACCGACATCGTCTATTTATTTAAATGGTTTTTCATAATATGTTTTTCAGTTTGATTTAAAAATTTTATAATACCATCATGTGCCATGATTTGTTCCTACTGTATATTTAAAAACTACCAAATCACTACATAGTATAAAAAAGTACTTTTTAAGTCCCTTTGTACGCTTAAATCTTTAAAACTACGCAACGGATAATGATGTGATTTATCTATTTAAGAAAGTGATTCAAGGGGAAGGGGAGACCACGGCTGTCAAAGACAAAGGGGCCGTAAAAAAAAAAAAAAAAAAAAAAAAAAAAAAAAAAACGCGGTAAAAAAAAAAAAAGGTTTTTTTAAAAAAAGAGTTTGACGTTTTTTTTAATCAATAGAGGATTCAATAAGGTAATGAATACAACGTTTACAGTTTATCTGTAGTGTATTTAGTATCAGCATTGCACACGAGTGAAGCCGGGGTGGGTCGCTAGTAACGTAATAAAATTACCGACAATGTAGGTCGAATTTGAAAAACCTTTTTTCAAGCGAAACTTATCCATCAAGGCTTTTTCACGAGGTCAGATTTTAAAAATTATATTTATAAAAATGAAAGCTAAATAAAGTAAAACACTTGGTAGTCTTATAAGTGGAAACTGTTAAGTGGAACAACAAGATGACTGCTTTAAAAGTTTTAAGGGGAAGTTCGTGAGGCATTGTGAACGGTTCTGAACCAAAACAATAGAGAAGCGGCTAAAGTAGAAATTACTGTTCGAACGAGTAACTTTAATTCTATTTTCAAGTATGGCACAGTTAACAATACTTTGTATATGAACACTGAGTCGACTGTTTCGTTGGACTAGTTGGTTACAAAATTACTATTTAGTTTTACACTTAAAGTAAAACTTTTCTTATCGACGACCCGACGCGACGTTTCGGATCCTTTACAGCAGCCATGATCGCGAGAAACGTAAAACATATGAATTTCAAAATGAATCTAGACTTTTTTTGTTTAGTTTAAAAAGTTATACTTTTACACAGACAGCTTTCTTTGTTATAAATGAGATATCCAATGTCAAAAGTTAAAAAGTTGCATAGTAAGTCTTAAAAATTGAAGAAAATGTTAGAATTTGTATTTAATGATTTTAACTATTTATAGGATATGCCTTGCTGAGAACGAGGAATGGCACGGGCAGCAGCAGCATGCATCTTCACTGTGCATTTTCTATCCTGCATTATAGGTAAGTTTATAAAAATACGCGTCTTTCGTCGTGTCATTTTGCAAAGCTACTTTTCAGCTATTAAACCATCGTATTTCAAAAGAAAAGAGGGACCCTTGATGGTCTCTTAATTTGTGTGACGAAAACCATTATGATAGCCGAATATACTTATTGATATACAGACATACAAATTGCAATAACTTGTTATTGTAATAACAGTTGCTTCACAGCCTTATCAGTCACGTTCCCATATCATATTTTTATACGAAATTGTATTTAAATTTATTTATTTAACACAATGTATATAATAATTTTTGTATATTTTATGTTATGGGCTTAAATTAAATTAATTATAAAAATACATAAATAAAAATATTATGATAAATATTTACGAAAATAAAAAGTATCAACTTCGTTCACAATAAGAAATTTTCTAATAATAAAATCAGAGGATTTGTCATTGAGGAATATCATTTTTCCTGAAGAACTCGTAGTAACAGGACATTATTAATTATATTTATTATAGCGTTAGATATAATTAGTGGTACAATTATTATAATGTATGATCTGCTTTCGGTCTGTTTGTGTCAGTAAAGGCAAAATTAATACCGAACGTTTCTTGCTACGTAACATTAATCTTATACTCATTACTTATTTGCGATGGGGTCAGAAACCGAATGTGTTACACGCCTCTAAGGAAAAGTCTTTTACGACGGGCTTTGTTCATTGATTTTCACGTTAAATAATAATGGATGAAGCCTTTTTTCCTACCTATATTAAATTTGCAAGAAAATCCTAAATTTGAATGTAATCTTTACATAGATTTATTGCAAGTAAACTATTAACGTTCTAACTCCCCAGTGGCTCAATGGTTATATGGATTGCGTTAAGAGATAGAGGTACTGAGTTAGTATACCGGGGAGTAAATAATACTTTTAGTCGGGTTGAACTTCGTAGTCTGATGTCCCATTATTTTCAAAGTTACTGCATACGGTATTCCGTGAAAATATAGGCTTAATTCATATATAAAACGATAACTCATTGGAAAGGGTTATTATGACGTAAATCAATATATTTTAAATGATAACGATGCTTGGGGTTTGGAAGACCCCGCCCTAACCAAAAAAAAGATGTATACTTTAAGTGAGTAAGAAACTTGTAACTAAAACTTGACGATAAAAGGAATGGCGACGTTCGTTCTTGGTCCTTGATTTGAGAACTGGTGTTAAATGTTAATTTGTAAGATTTTTTCATAGTTTTAACTGTATTTACGTCAATAACACTACCAAATTGATTCTAAATAAAGTAGTACATTCAAAGCATTAATATTATATTTTAAAATAATGTAAAATTTATATTTTAATTCAACATAATATACAAAATCTTCTGGTTGTATTTTGTAGAATATTTACTGTATAATATTTTTTCTTAAATATTGATTGTCTGTTTTAATTGTTGTTAATAATAAATTAAATACCGATATTTCAAATTACGTGTAAAATGGCACGATTTCCGGAGCTCCGCTAATCTTCCTCGACGGCTGATTAAGTGTTAAATTTTAAATTATCCACTTTTGACGTCGCCCTTTACTAAGACCAAAGATTTTCAATATAATTCACAGTTTTCCTTTGTGATAGGATGATTGTAAAAGAAGTATATACATTCTTCTTTATAAGGATTTCTCTCTATATCATAAATAAATAATAATATATGCTAATATTATGTACGCCTTTATTAGAAAAGACTTCTTTTTTTTGAACGCACTAATCTCAGAAGCTACTGGTCCTTACCTAATTTTGTTAAAATTATATTTTCTTTAGTTAGAGTATTTATCGAAGAAGGTTTTATGCTATAAAATATCACGCTGCTACTATAAAATAAAAAAGTATTTTTAAATTAGAACAAGTACTGTCTATAGTTTACGCGACTAGTACAGATTTAAATAAAATACTTTAATGGTTTAAAACGCGAAATATTAGTTAAACTTATTTGAAAATGATTTTTAACTTCGGCCCGACGTTTCGGATGCTTTGCAGCAGCCATGGTCTCCCCGTGACCACGGCTGGCGGAAAGCATCGTGCGTTTTAAGCCGTTAAAGTGTTTTATTGAAATTCGAAGAAGTATTTAATGAGATTAGCGCGTTTAAACGAAACTCTCTATCTATATTAGTATACCTTAGACTGTGGGATCGATTCCACGATCCATTGATTAGCCATACATTGCCACCATTGCAACGAGGCCGTGATTATTCTTATCGTCGTATTTATTATATGAAAATTACTTTAATTAAAAGGATGTTTTTAAGGGTCTTTGTTATTGCGAGCTTTTAATAATATAAAATCTCTTTCAGTGTGCCGACAAGATAGCAGCAGCAACCGTTCCCGCGAGCAGAACTCAGTGTCTGAATCATCAAGGCGGTTCAGGACGGAATTTCTCGAGGACTGGCCCCAGACGCCGAGCTCTCCGTACTTCGACCCAAGTACTCCGGACAATGTGACCGGATTAGTCGGACATCCGGTGACCCTCCTCTGCAAAGTGAAGAACCTTCAGAATCGTACTGTGAGTATATGTCAAGTGTGGGTCCACGACCGAGTGATGCAAAGTGTAGGAAATTAGAGCTATGACATTTTACAGTGCACATTTGAAATAGACTTTATTATTTTATTAAATACTAGCCGTTGCAGCGACTTCGTACGCTAAAAATATTTATTTTGGGTATCCAAATTAGTTTTTGCAAATCCCTTTATCTTTTTAAACGGATGCTATTACCCCCGACGTCGGTCGCGTCCCTTCTCGTCGTTCTTGCAATTTAATCTTAAAAGATAGATATATAGCGTCGCGGTCTTTTTTTAAATCATTTAACGAAGAGAAGAAGAGAAGTTCCGTTTTTCTCGGAAACCTATAATTAATAATTTTCCTATTTTTTTCACATTTCCAGCGGGAGAGATACAGTGGTATCTTCGCTTGTATTATTCACAGGGCAGTGTTTTATAGCCTATAGCCTTCCAAAAAATGCTCTAATCAACACAAAAAAAAATTTTCAATTAGAACCCATAGTTCTTGATATTAGCGCGCTCAAACAAACAAACTCTTCAGCTTTACATATTAGTATATATTAATTGCACTAGACAAACAGAATTAAAATTAAAAACTGGTTATTGAATCTAAAGGGAACTATTTTATATTGAATTGGAAAGCCCTAAAGACTAGCACTGTAACGCTAACGTTTAAATGAAAATATATTATTTTTCGTACTATTTGGTCGTATTATACGGTTGACAACCCTAGTTATAGCCAAACTAATCATATCCTTTGTATGGCATCGTATGATGTCGTAAACCGGACGAACATAGAAGTGTTGTCTAATTATAAAACATATGACTGTGTGGGAATTAATTCGTTGTAATGATTACAGTTCGTATTTAATAACTTTGTGTCATTAAAACCTTATTTTCAGAGATACATTCAGTTTAAAACTAAAATGTGTCAACTTTAATACGTCGTCTAGTAGTCAGTAGTACATGTGCAAAACTCGAATTTAAGAGTCGGAAAATTATTGGGTCGCTTTTTGGAAATGTCTTGGAAAATTTCTAGGTTTCTAGATTACTGGGAAGGTTCACCTTACATCTTAATGATAGCTTAATTGATCTCAGTTATCATCCCCAATAGAGAGGAGGGAGTCATGAGTCCGGTGCGCGAATTAATAGCGTGGTGGGTCTATATCGAATAAGAAATCGATGCCAAGCAATGACGGCTATACATTGAAACTAACAATTATACCTAAAATACAGGCACATAAATTATAATGAAACATGTTTATTGAAATATCATATTTTTAACCCAATGTTTCAGATACTTTGCAGGTCATAGTGCTAATAAATTAAAAATAAGTTAACTAATATATTTCACGTTTTAAACTGTTAAAACTTATTTATTTTAATATTTACCAAATGCGTAAACATTAAACGTTTCTATGCTTTTAAAGGGATGTTTTATAATCTCTCTGTTATTCCCATATGTAGATAAGAGTTGTCTGGAAAGAATAAATTTTGTGTTACTTGGCAATAGTCGAGAATTCGGCAGTTCTCTCTTATCTAAATTTTCATTGCGATGTGTAACCAGTGGGTCGTATCAAACGGAAGGAACGCGTAACGGTTCCTTAGGCCCGAGTCAAACATTATTTCTCTTTATCGCGGTTTAATATATTTTATTCGAGCTTATTTGGATTTATTTAATACTAAGTTTCAGAAGATTTTTCGTCGCAAAATTAATTTAGCTACGTGTTCAGTTATTATCTATACAGTAGTATATCCTAAGAATACGAAGTACATTAAACTTACATAACAGTTATAAATCATAGTCTGTAACATCAAGGAGTCAATTGTCAAAAAATTTAAAAATGTCAGAAACATCTTTTCTCTCTTTTATTCCCACACGGCTAGCGAAAGCACCATCCTGCGCGTGAGATTTTTTTATTCAATTTGTATTAACAAATAGATCGTAAAGCATAAAAGTCGTCTTCTTTATATAAATTATTAATTATATAGTATATATTCATACGTAGCTATGCTACGGTAGTAATTCGTTAATAATAAGAGAATTCGTAATTTGGTTACTAGTTTTTGAGATTTAAAATATAAAGTAAAGTAAACTTAAGTATATTTATAAAGTTTATTGCTTAATAGCCTTAAAAATACAAGAAGAAGAAGAATCAGGCAGAATACAGAATTGCAATCTTGTAAATAATATGGATCACCTGATTGTGAACATGGAATTAACTAGTTTAATAAATTCAGTAACATAAACATTAAGTACAAATGTAATTTAATCTATGTCACATTGTAATTGTACTCTTGCAAGGGGGACTCCCTTATTAAACGCTTAGCTAAGCTAGCTCAGTTAAGCTACTTACGTCGATTAAAGCCCGCTAAACGTGCAATATTTTATTTCACACAAGTCAACATGACACCGATGGAAATACTACAAATTTGTGAAGCCTGAATGTTTGTTTTCGGAGCTCAAATATCAGTAGTCGTATGTCAGCGGTAAACGGTAACTTATATTTGAACAGGTCAAATAACTCAATGTTTGAAAAATCTTACAAACACGTTGTATACTGTCTATAGTTTTTGCGAGTAGTACACATTTAAATAAAACACTTTAACGGTTTAAAACGTGATATATTAGTTAAACTTATTGAAAATGATTTTTAACTTCGGCCCGACGTTTCGTTTTTATGGTCACAGAGAGACTCTCCGTATATCGTTTAATCGTTTAAAACCGTTAAAGTGTTTTATTTAGACACGTTGCATTTTCACGACATATTGCTATTTTTATGACTGAGGACAGACAAGCAAGGTGTGCAAGTAATGTAAGGTGAAATATCCTATCCAATTTACATCTTCAGAAGATAGGAGGGTATTTTGGGTTTGAATATTCGGGTTTCCCAAATATTTCATTTGGTTTATTTACTTTATTTCAACAAATACGTAATTTTATGCATTGTTTCAATAAGTAAGCATTCTGCATTTTGGTACACGCCTAGAGTTTAACTGAACGAAGAGTGTCTATCTCTGTTTAGACTACCATTTTACGTTACGACGTTAAAAGCAACCAACCTGCAGTGGAATAGTGTAGTCTACAGTCTTAAAACGTTCTCATATGCCATAAATAACCTTCCGTGGGAAAGGTTGAAACAATAGCTGTTGTAAGAAAACGTATTGCTGTAAAACTTAACGAGATAATCTTGGTGTGAAATATAGAAAACCAAAAAATTAATTTAAAAGTTAATTTACAAGCTACTTACAATTTTCCAGGCTTAGAAGTGTCGCGTTGCAAATAAAAAGCGGCAATTTTTTTGTATCCTTCAGCGAATCATAAAATTTCAGAAATCCTAAACTGTTGCAGGAAAATATTTTAATCCTTTCACGGGAGATGCCACAGCGTTTTAGCGAAAAAGAAATCTTTTCATTTCGACAAGACACCTAATAGCACTTCGGTGTTCAGACATTAAATGTAAAATAAGAGATTTTAAGGTCCTGCGTTGCGTAATTAATTATACAACTAACTAATACAAATTTACCATACGACCCTTAAATATAGCTTTGCTAGGTGATTTATTTAATTCAAAAAATCATTTAAAATAAATTATTAAAAAAAATATCTGACTCATTCAATAAATACTTGGATAAAACTCTAATGTATCCTTGACATTCGTCCAATTTCCACAGATTTAACGGCCATAATGAAAATTATATAATGAAAAGGTTCTACGGACCCTAATAAAATAAAAAACCTACAAAGCCCTCAACGTAAGGGTCTTTTCACATTGTACAGAATGCATAGACTGGTAAACGTCACCCACATATTAAATTAAGCATGAAGCTATATGAAAATGGAAAATGTTCTAGCCTTTAATGCTATTTACTCCACTGTAGCTCTCGTTCCGTCAAGTTTATTTTTAAGCTCTTGTTTTAATGTAAATGCACTTGTGTTTGTTGTTTTATTGAATTTAAGCTGGACTGTAATGGTTCAACTTATACAGTTTTTGAAAAGTCGATGACTTTTAATGTTAGGACTATTGTAGAAGTAGATTTAAAAATCCTGTTGCATATTTAAAACAAATGAAAAGACAGTTTAACATATTTTAGGATCAATAAGGGATTTAAGTGATTGGATCCGATTTGTATGTACGAAATAGATACCTATTCTCCAATGATACGTTTATACAGCTCGTTCTTAACAGCTCTTTTATTTTTCAATTTTATTTTGTAATATTCGATCTACACCACAGATTATATCAGAATCACTAAATATAATATAAACAGCTCAATAGCTTTACAAAATAATAAGTTTTAAACAGTATTACAATACAAATAGAAAGAAGTATCATTTCCAAATAAGTTTAACTAATATATCGCGTTTTAAACTGTTAAAGTGTTTTATTTAAAAGAAATAATTATTTTTACTTTTATTTTATTTAAAAGCCTATCTATCGTAAGATGCTATCAAATGCGTACATTTAATTAATTGGTATGAAGATAACGTGAACGTCTTTGCAAGACTCTTTAAAGCTTGAAAAAAAGCGCTGCTTACGTTTTGCAAACCTCGTAACTGCTTTATCAGCCAGCTGCAGTCTACGACTTGAATTTTTGCTAACATTTTACTTTCATTCCTACGAATTGTCTCTTAAGTACATTTTAAATTCTCAAGCTAAATCTTTTTTTATTATAGAACTGGACAGACAAGTTCGGGTTTGCTTGATTGTAGGTGTAAAGACATCTAACATGTCACATGATGCTGTCGACCTATTTTGGCTTTGAATATTCGGAAACCGAAACGCGGCGTTCCACGGCTTTTTCATTTGTTAGCGGTGGATCGTGACGCGGACGGAATTTTGATATTCCTACCACCAGATTTCCAGTCGAAGCCCAATATGTTTCAATAAAATTATAAATTGATTATACATTTGTTGGATCCGGTAAAGATCGAATCCATGACGCATTGACTTTAGCCATACATTACTACAATTAGACCAACAATCCCGTCTGAATTCAGTA